TTCCCGTTGCCAAAAAAAAAACCCACTGCCATAGAGTTGATTCCGACTCATAGCGACCCTATAGGACAGAGTAGACCTGCCCTATAGAGTTCCCAAGGAGTCCCTGGTGGATCTGAGCCGCTGACCTTTTGGTTAGCAGCAGTAGCTTGTAACCACTTAGCCACCAGGGTTTTCCACTGGGGATTAAAGAGGTAAAATTAATAATAGAACCAGGATTTGTACCAGCTTTTATAAATCTAAATCCAGTGCTCTACTATCATATCACAGCTATTTGTAATGCAGTGCAATAGCATTTCCCATGTTCAGTTCTGAACGTCTCCAGAATTGGGAGATGCCTTACTTAATCTCTGGGTCCCCAGTGCCTCTTACAAGGCCTAGATCTCGGTATTCAGTCAGGGATTGTGTGACGAAAGGTTCATGAATGATTGAATGAGAAGCAAGTAGTACTTTTGATACTTTTTTAAAAGCTTCCTTTACCAGCTGGGAGGTTTCTCTCCATGGAATGTATATTTTCCCCAAAATAAACCTGATGTGTGTGTCAATACCAGAATGCAAGTGGATCAAAAGGCCTTTTTTTTTTTTTTTAATTCCTCCACTTACCACAAAGTGAAAAAAGTTTCTTTGTTACCTAAGATATCTGCGCCAGATTGTACAATGCTGTCTCTTAGAGCAAGTGCTTATTATTGTGGCTAATTTGGTCACATGTGTTTGAGGCAGAACAATGCCTCAGAAATTTTTAAAAGCAAAACAGCAATCTGAAGCGTTTGTTGTAATGAGATGTAAATTGCCAACATCAGTAGTGGAGCCGACTGAAATTTGCGATGAAGTATTTTTTCCCCCTCTTAAATTAAAAGCACTAGAGGCCCTCCATCCCCTCCCCAAAGAAACCACATGCTTTTTCGTTCCTTTTCTTCCTGATTCTGTAATGCTAAACACCGTCCTTTATTGATTGATTCATTCCTTCATTCCTTTGCCATTTTGTGAGTCTCTGTCTTACCATGCCTTCACAGTGCTGTACTCTTTCAGAGGCATTATCAGCCTGCAAGGTGGCGGCTGGTAATCCCCATTTTGCAAGTAGGAAGGCTGAGGCGCAGAGAGGTTAGGTGACTTGCCTGAGGTCATACGGCTGGGATTCCCACCCATGGTCTCCTGAAGAGCCTCTTCAAGATGTTCCTTTGGCTGGTTTTTTGAGCTGCTGCCCTTGCTGAGGCTGAGGTAGCTCTGCATACAGTGCTGTGGAAGGAGGCTGTCACAGAGAGTGGTGCCTCTAGCATCCAACAGCTATGCCTGGGCTGTTAAACAGTGCTGACAAAGTATGTCAGGAAATAATTTTCCTTGAGCCAGAAGATCCCAGTACAGTAGCCTCAGTCATTTGACGGAGCTCTGTCAGTCCCGGAGAAGACAGAGTGAGCAGAGTAGAGGGTGCGTATGCCATGGAATACTGAGGACCTGCTCTGGGCTGGGCCTGTGCTAGACATTAGGGGCAAAGAAGATGAAGCAGCTCGCGCCTAGAACCCACAATTAGGAATAGGCTAATCATGTAAACATGGGAGTGAGTATAGCGCATGTGTGTGGGAGGGGGTGGTGGGGGAGTGAACCAGTGTTTACCAAGCAGCCACTCTGCCAGATTCTGAATTAATCATGTTTCATATGTGGTTAACACATTTAATCTTCAGTCTTGCCAAGTTGCTGTTGTCATTCCTTCTTTCAGGTGAGGTAACAAGTTCGGAGAGGTTAAGTAATTATTCATGTGTAAATCATCTGTTGAGAATAGAATTTGAACCAGGCACTGCACAGAGTCCTAGACTCCGCCATAGAAATGACACAGTCCCCACCTGCCTTCATGCCTCACAGTCTACTGGGGAAGACAGACATAAAGCAAATGAGATTACTATGGCAGAATGGGAGTAAGGGAGTGGGGAGGTCCCAAATGAAGGCAGAGCTCTACTACCCGAAGTCAGGGTAAGAGTTGGGAAAGGCTTCAGAGGGGACGATGCCTGGTGAAGATCACAACTCACCTCAACAGTAAATTGCAAACCCAGTATTTAAACCCTAGTCTCCCCGACTCAAAATGCCAAGCAAAAGAATGAAGAGAATTACTTACCTCCATTTGAGGGCATAGGACAGCCTTTATGGGGGAGATGGCATTTGAATCAGGCCTTGAATGAGTGGTGGAGTTTGGATAGGTGGGCATCCTTGAGGATAGAATGTTCTGCACAGATGGAATGGTGCAAGCAAAGACTAGGAGGCAAAAAAGAATGGCAGGTGTGTGGAGATGATTAGGCAGGCTAATCTGACTAGAATGTAGTCTCTGTAAGGGGAGGGGACCAGCAGGAGATAGAGCTAGAGAGGTGACTCTCTCAGCCCCTGTTCCTTCTAAATATCCCTCTGGACAGTGTGGAAGCAGAATCTGTAACTACAGCCATCTGAATTGTCCATTCTCCTGGCTAGGTGCTTCTGATTTCTACTTAACAGCCCTAATTTAGACTTCACAGACATCATGAAAGGTTACAGAGTTTGAGAGAACAGCCTCCCACCCATCCCAACCTCCAGTTCCAAGCATCTGAGTCAGCAGCAGGCCTTTATTTCAGAATCTTTGCCCCAGTCCATTAAATACCCCTGGCAGCTCTCTCCCCTCCCTCTTATATTGAATTCATTCTTTATGAAAAAATTACCGAGAGCCTGCAATGTGCCAGTTACTTGTCTAGGCCCTAAGGTTATAAAGGAAGTAAAACATGGTCTTTGCTTGGAAGAGCTTCACAGTCTGATGTTGAAAACAGGCAAGAAGGTGGATGATTGCAAACATGATTTGCTAGAAGCTATTTACAAGTGGAGTAAGACCTCTACCTGTGATCAGGGCAAGGCCTCATGAAGGAGACACCTGAGGGGCATCCTCAAGTCTGACAAGGGGCTTGGCAGGCAGATGAGGTGGCATTCAAGGCCGAAAGAACAGTACATCCAAAGGCACAGAGGCTTGTGGGACCTGAGTTCCGTGCGACTAGAGCATAGATGCATAGCAGAGAGAGCAAGAAGTGAGCCACAGAGGCAGAGAGGAGGCTGGTTGTTCTGGGCCTTAAAGAGGTGATGGAGTGGGATGACTTAATTTTGAGGATAATGGGCAGCTTAAGCAAGGAAGGACACTGTCCCTTGAAAGATCCCTTTGGCAGCCGTTGTGGAAATGAACAGAAGGAAATCTGACTAAAGTCATAACTGTACTGGATTCATTCTCTTGTCCAACAGCCTCTTATCGAAGGAAAATGAGGCTTCAGAGCAGGGACTTGGTATTGCCAAAGATTACCTATGAGCCAGTTGCTGCAGGTGTCACCTCCTCTCAGCCATTCCTTTCTCCTGTCACTGAATGTCAGAGCAGAGAAGAGACCTCATGCCCTTTAGGCAAACTGAAGTAATAATCTCCTCCCCAATCTAAGAAAAGATCAAATGCTCCACTTGAATTTGTTTGCATTTCAGACATTCAGCCTGAGATCCCACACAGAGAGTGGAGACGCTTTGGCATCTGCTTCTGAAGTTTTAGAATTATTCATTCATTTTTGTCATTCTTCCATTCATTTAGCAAACATTGGGAGAGTACCTACTCAGTACCTAGGTCAACTCTTGAATTGCTCATGCACTATTGGGAGAGGCTATCAAAACTATTATGATGCTGTCTAATTCACTTACCAGTGGTCCCACAATTAAACACCAGAGCCAGGGATGGGTCCTGTGAGCTTTCTGCCAGGACCAGCCATGCTCTTATTTACACTGTTCTGTTCCCCAGTCATCTTTCATTTAGCTTTGTGCAAGGCTCAGCTTAAATCTTTGGAGACTACAGAGATTCTGTTTCGCAGATGGCAGCTGCCAGCAACTCAGAATTGATATTCTCATTCTAGGAAGCCCTGTCATGATGAATTTTAGTAATAAAATCATCAATACCTTCCCTACCACCAACCAAAGTCTAGGATGTGGCAACTGAACATAGAATTGCAACCTGATTGTTGCACGCGGCTTTAGTATATCAAGAGCTTTGTGTACCCAGTTGGCCACATGGTTAGGATAAGAGAAAGCTGGACCGTGAATCTATCAGTTATTTAAATTATATACACAGTCATGGGGAGCTGCTGTGGAAGCAGCTAAGTCTCCCATCCCAGTTAACTCCTGAAATGTTTGAACAGGGAGAATTTCCAGCATGCTAAACTCTCAGTTGGCCTTTGGACTTGCTTCTCCCACAAAAGTTAATCAAATCGTTCACCCTTATTTACCCATTTCATCCTGTTCTCCGCCCATTGGTAATCAAGACACAATAGGTGATTTTTAAAAGTAGTCCATCACTTTAAAAAGCTAACGGAGGTATAAAAGATCCTCCTTAGAAACTGCCACCATTTATCTAGCTGTTTAAACCGCATGTAATTTTTGTTGATTGCATTAAAATAAAAATCAGGGTAGCTGCCGGATCAGGCAATCAGGGGCTTGCTTAATCTCTTGTATTTTATTTTCTTGGTTGAAATGCCGTGGTAGCCTGGATACTAGGTGTGGGGGCAAAGGTAAGCCCACTGCTTTTCTAGCCTCCCTTCTTCCTCTGTGGCCTGCCCCACTGTAGGCTACTGAGATGGGGTTTTTGGAAAGTACACAATTTGCATATTCCAGTAATTGCCACCTCTTCTCCTTCCACTGAGTCTTAACAGAACCTCTTTCCTGTACAGGAAGTTGAGTCCCCCGCATTTCCATTCAGACAGTGACACCGTATGAGAGTGCTTCTCATTCATACTTAGAGTCTAGTTCATTCTTGTCTTCCAGTTTTCTACCTTTTCCCTTGTGACATTCATACCTCATATTATTTTCAAGGCTGGGTTTAAGTGTAGTCCGATGGACAAAAATAAGCCAGCATTTTTTTTCCCCTTTTGGTGTCACTGTGTGCTGATAGATGCGTAGTTTTAAAAAAAAAAAAAAAATTGCATTTTATTTTCCTTGGAGTTCTAGACAGATCTCTTTTCTTAACTGCCTAGGTCCCGCCATTGACTTGGAAAAAGTAAAGTCAGAATGTCTCGAGCCCGAGCCGGAGTTACGAAGCACTTTCAGTGAGGAAGCAAATACGTCGTCCTATTACCCCGCTCCTGCGCCTGTCATGGACAAGTATATCCTAGACAATGGCAAGGTAGTGTTCTCAGCTCAATATCGATTCCCTGCAAGCGTTTGTTAGTCAGGGTCAAGATGGAGAGTATGGTGGGAGCTGGACTGGTCAGCCTCCTGGCCTAGCACTGCGTGACTGTTTCTGGAATTTATGTGTTGTCACTAGTGTAGCTTTGTTTGGACTTTTTCTCTTTCTTCTTCTGTTTAAAAAAAAAGAAAAAAGAAAAAGGGAGGGGGGAAGCAACTGTGAAAACGAAACTACATTTTAAACAGCTCATTAGTGAGAAAGATTAAAAAAACAAACAAAAAAAAAGGCCATGGTAGGTTGATGAAATTTGTCCTACCCCCATGAAACCAGATGCATACAACATATAAGGTGAACTAGAAATGAAATATTTGATTGACAGGTAACAACTCAGTCTATATTCATTCACCGTTTACCACGTATCTATGTGTTCTAAGCCCTGTGCTAGATACCAGGGATCCAGAGGTAAATGAGACATGCTTCCTGTCCCTAAGCTGCTCTCAACTGTATATTCAGCAGTGGTTAGCCCACAGTCCTAGGATCACATATTTTCTTGTAAGGCCCTTGGAAATAATCGTGAAAGAAAATGTAAGTGCTATTAGGGATTATATTGACAGAGGGATGCAAATTAAAGAAATAACCTTTGGAAGTCTTAAAGTCACATGATGATATAGTGGCAAAAGCAGGGCAAGAAACTGTTCTAACATCCAGATGAATGGTCTTGGAGGATACGTATTGGAGCCCTTTGTCCAGGCACTGGTAAAATCCAACTCTAGTGTTACATTCTTTGCCACTGTGGCAGTGGGCGTGCACTATAGACATCATACTCAGTTCTCCTCAAAGAGTCATCTTTGTCAGCCCATTTTTCTTGCCTTATGCTTTGAAAGTCCTCTGTTTGTCCAGTATGGTGCCCCAGTGGGTTGATGAGAAAGAGAAGGTTTTTCTTATTTTGATTTGTCCAGATACATCCCTGCAACTGACCAACCTGAGCCAAAGCAAATATTGTCAAGCTGGGGAGATGAAACCTGTTACTCTTCAGGGCTCCCTTGGATATGCTGCCATTCCCTGCATCCCCCGCTGAGCGCTTCCTCCCCTGCAGAGGCAGGACTGATGGACCAGGCCACAGGCCCATTCTGCTTTGCTTTCTCTAGCCAACAGGCTTTGCAAGTCTGTTCGGCAAGGGAGAGGTGGAAGTAGGCAGCCTGGAGCCTGAGTTCTAGGCATAGCTCTGCCTTGGTCCTACCTGTGTGACCTTGGGTGGGTCTTTCCCTTCTCTGGGCTCAGTGTCCCTGTCAGTGGAAGGTGGGATGGATTGATGCTTTTCATAGTCCTTTTATGACTCTGGGACTCTGTATGTAAGTTTGGTGAACCTTCCCCATTCGACGATAAAAAAAGAAAGGGCTATTCTGTCTTTGTTGGTTTCTTCATTTTAGTCATGATGACACTGGGGAGTGACTAGAGAATTTTCCTTAATTTACAAGAGGAATCTATTTCTCTCTTGCTTTGAAAGCTGATGGGCAATTTCTGAACATTATGGGGGCACCTCTTTTGCACAAGTTGCTTTTTCCCCCGCAGAAAATATGTCTTTCAAACCTCATTAACTTCTTCACACATCAGTTGAACAACAAATCTTGCAGGTGACAGTTTTTTTTCATTAGTTTTTGCCAATATGTTGCTAAAGAAAACTAACCTGGTTTTTGTTTGCAACTAATTTGCAGTTAGGCAGAGACACTTATTAAGGGGGAAGAAAGAAAAAGACACACTGGACGCAGATGACAGCCCCCAGAGCAGCATGTCTCACATCCCAGAAGTAGCTGTCATTGTTCTGCTGTAGTTTCTGACCCTCTCTTCTCTCTGCCTGCACAAACAGAGAGAGGCTTTAACATCTCTGCGAGGCCTACAGCACTGGAGCAGGATCCACTTCCTAGTAGGAAACGAGTGTTAGCCTACAAAACAGGTCAAAAAGACATTTTTTGATCAAGTCCCACCTGTCAGATGCCATATTTTAATGCTCTCCCTTGATACGTAATTCTGACATTCTGGTCAAATAGTCTACTGTGGTTTACATAAGTAGGGCTTACCATAAAAAGTTAGTATATTGCTTCCCTTTGTCTAAGATTTTTTATTTAAAAAACTCATTAAATCATAAAGCTATAAAGACCATTAAAGTTTAGTCTAATTTATATTAGTAGTCATAAGGAAACACATCAAGAGAAGGGACTTGTCTCCGATTGTACAGCAGGCTAGAGGCAGGGCAGGAGCTGGATGCCAGATCTCTTGGTTCCCAGGCTAGTGCTCCTTCACTATTCTGCTGACCTCTTGGGTCCTATCTGAAATGCTCCAGTATATACCTGTGATTGGTCTTACCCAGGGCCATTTCCTTCTGTGCTGTCAAGTTGGCCTTGTACTGTAGTGAATGTCAGAAAATACCGTCTTCTCCCAGGAATAGCAGCTCATCAGAACTGAAAACCAGTGCCATTTAGACATTAAATATACCCATCAGTTTCTTACTGCTTTGTGTTCAGACTTGCCCAGTCTCTCTGTAGGGCACAGAAGAAGCAAAGCCGTGACTCCTCCTCACAGACATGTGCTGTGAAGGGCTGGATCAGGTGGTAAAGGCCCTAAGTGCATTAGAAATTCAGAGACGATAGAAATGAGCCCTAGAGTAGTTCACGAGTATTGCCTTTGAACTTGGAAGATTCGCAGGGTTAAGAAGACATAAGGGAAGGCATTCACTTCTGGACAAGGGAATGGCACGAGCAGAGACATGGGTGGGGGCAGAAGGCAAAGGATGTAACGGGTATTGGATGTATGCTATGCTCTTGCCATTTTATTGATGTTATCTCACTTAGTTCTCAGAACACTTCTGTGACTTAGGGGGTGGTCTGTCTATTTTACAGCTGAGGAAAGTAGGGCTCAGAGAGGTAAAGCAGCTTGCTTAAGATACAGAGCTAGTAGGTAGAAGAGTCAGGATTCTACCCAGACATAGCCCATCCTTTCTGTTACAGCACACTGGAAGTAGAAGGAAGTGAAAGACTTTGGGAGCTTCAGTAAAACAACGGATATAGGAGAGAAATCGAGGTTAGCGGGTTGAATGGCGATGGGATTCTAAACGGTCTTTAAAGCTGGGCTGAGGAGGTTGGATTTTAATGTGACAGGAAACAGGGAGCCTTTCAAGATTCCAGAGGGTTGACGTAAAAAAATCACAAAGTTGAAAGGAATTGCGGGAGTAGATAAGCGATGTTTTAGGAAAATTACTCTGGCAGTGTTTACAGGGCAGGTTGGAAGGAGCAGAATTGGAGGCAGGGAGGCCAGCCCACAGCCTTTTTCCTGGTTTCCTGTTGTTGGCGGTAAATTGCAGTTGAGTGCTGGTAAGGGAAGTGGCCAGGCAGGTGCAGGGGAAAATTTGAAAGGAAAACTAACTAAACATTGATGTGTTAGATCTCGTGTGTTTCAACCATATCAGCATCACCGTGACACCAGCAGCTGCAAGGAAAGCCAAGAGAGCATGGGCTTCAGGGTCAGCCAGATTTGGATTTGAATCTTGATCCCCAAATTTGCTGATTGTGTGTCTTAGGAAAGCAATTGAGTCCCTCTGAATCTCTGTCCACATCTGTAAAATGTGACTAATAATTTCTGCCCATTTTCATCTTTTAAGATCACTACGAGGGGGAAATAAGTTGAGTGTACAATACCTGGCTCATTATGGGGTTGTTAGGTGCTGTAAAGTTGGTTCCGACTCATAGCGATCCTACGTACAACAGAACAAAACACTGCCCAGTCCTGCACCATCCTCATAATTTTTGCTATGTTTGAGCCCGTTGTTGCAGCCACTGTGTCAGTCCATCTCGTTGAGGGTCTTTCTCTTTTTCACTGACACTTTACCAAGCATGATGTCCTTCTCCAGGGACTGGTCCCTCCTGATAACATGTCCAAATTATGTGAGACAAAGCCTTGCCATCATCACTTCTTAGGAGCATTCTGGCTGTACTTCTTCCAAGACAGATTTGTTTGTTCTTCTGACAGTCCATGGTAAATTCAGTATTCTTTGCCAACACTATAATTCAGAGGCATCAATTCTTTGGTCTTCCTTATTCATTGTCCAGCTTTTGCATGCATATGAAGGTCATTATAGGTGTTCAAATATTAGTGTCCTCTTCCCCTTATAGAACACTGGCTAAAATGACTATCATCTCTCTTTTAAGAATAATAAAAGATTACAGCAAAGCAAGGCCCAAGGTAGAAAAGAACAGATATCTTCGAAAAAATTTAAATTGGCCCGAGGTAGAAAAGAACAGATATCTTCGAAAAAATTTAAATTGTCTTCCATCTAAGGTGTTCTTACTCTGAATTTAATCTGATTCAAAGTTCCTTATTTTTCCCCAATCTCAGGAAGGCCTGAAGCCTGTGTGGGTGGCCCCGGAGTGTCACCAAGGCAGGTAAAGCAAGGTCCGGCAAGGAGCAGCAGGAAACTCGTCCCCAGCATGCCCAATATGGCACATAGTCTGCCCACCTACAGTCTGAACTGCAGAGAAAAGGCCAGACTTGACCTTGGGTAGGTGTTGCCCAGCCAGACGCAGGCAGCACATCTCACTCCAGGGCTGCTTCTCTCTCCTGAGCTGTGCAAACACATTTGCAGTACCGAAGTTTACAGCACAGAGAGGCCAGGTGGATCTGGTTATCTGATGGCCTGCGGCAGTCAGAATGATCTTTTGAGCAAAAGGAGGTGAAGTCAGACATGGCAGGTGGATTGTTTACTTACTGGCATTTGTGGACTGTTTTGCCTTTTTTTCTTTTTGATGTTTGCAAAACCTTGGTAGTTGATGAAGGAAGAAGTGTTGTTGGCTGACCTGGCTGCCCATCTGCATGTGCCCACCTTCCTTCCCAAGCCAAGACTCAGCAGAAAGATCATTTTTGAACAGCCTTACCAACCTGCCATCAGTTTGGGAGTGTGCAGCCTCTCAGACCAGGACCTCTCTTGAGATGGATTTCCTGACCATTTCCATCCTACATAGATTAAGCAGAAACACAACATAAGTGACAATGTCAAAGTCAAAACTAATTTTTTAATGGTGAATGTTAGTAAATGGTTTGTGAGTTGTTAAAAGAATCAGAAAGGAAAAAAAATTTTTTTCATGCCTGTAGCTCATTGCTAGATCAGTCTGGGTCTTTTGAATTTATCAGCTCTGCCCTGAAACCTTCTGATTGCTTCCCTTATAGGGAACATAATTTTGTGTTCTGTTTGATGTACTATCAAAATCAGACCAGGCACCTTGTGGTCGTGTTTAATTTTTTTTTAATCACAGGTGATCAGAGCCAGAAGGAACTTACAAACAAAATCCAGCCCTCCCTGTTCATAGATGAGGAAGCTGAAGCTCAGAGATGGAAAAGAACTTGCATGACCACAGCCCAGTTGGTGGCAGTGCCTGGTCAGCTGCACTTCCCACTTCAGCTGACAGTGGTTCTCAAACTTAACTGAACGCTGTAGTTACCCACAGAGCTTTAACCAGTGCTGATGCCTAGCCCACACCCAGACCATTAAATCAGAGTCTCTGGGAGTGAGGCCTTGGCATCAGAGGTTTTTAAAGCTCCCCGGGTGATCCCGGTGTGCAGCCAAGGTTGAGAACCACTGTGCTAGGAGGATGCGTGTCCCAGAATGTTCACATTAAGGGGAGACAGGTCTTTCTAAAGTATCAACACAGAAAGGAGTTAAGCATGTGTATTCCTAAGATTTGATCAGGCTCTGAGCAGCCTTGTGATAAAATGAGTATGGGTTAGAATCCAGACGCTACCACTTAATAGTTGAGTGACTTTCAGCAAGTGACTTCACCTTTCTGGACATACTTTCCCCATCTGAAATGAAAAAAATGGCCATAGTACCTTCCTTCTGGGGTTGCTGGGCATATTTGATATGGCAGATACAAAGCACTAGAATAAGGACTGGCACATAACAGGTATTCAGTAAATGATAGCTATTTGATTACTCTTAAAGAGAGTCTATTTAGTATTTATAGCATGAATCAGTTAGAGTTGTGTAACAATGTTTTTTAAAGGACAAGAGAAGCCTCCAGCTGCCCTCCTGTCAGACTAAACAGGTGCTGGTGTTCTTACCCTTTCAGGTCCATCTGGGAAGCGGGATTTGGGTTGATGAGGAGAAATGGCACCAGCTACAAGTAACCCAAGGAGATTCCAAGTACACAAAGAACCTGGCAGTCATGATTTGGGGAACAGATGTTCTGAAGAACAGAAGCGTCACAGGAGTTGCCACAAAAAAAAAGAAGGATGCAGTCCCTAAGCCACCCCTCTCACCTCACAAATTAAGCATTGTCAGAGGTAGGTCACTGCCATGAAAACACAATAGCTGAGATACTGTCCTTAACTCTGGAAGAATATACTAGATTCAGTTCAGTTCAACAAATGATCACTGAAGTCTCTCCAGGCTAGCCCTGGGCTGGGCACAGGAACACAGGGGCAGATATGAACCCTGGCCCAGAAGAGCTCACGTTTAATAGGCTACATAAGCTGTGGACACAAGTACAATGCAAGGAACTAGCATGATAGAGGGACAGATGACATCTTCAGGGAGTTCTCAGGAGGCAGGGCTTCAAACTGGTTCTTCCCGGTTCAGTCAAGGCTGAGGAAGTGAAACCAGAACAGATCTGAATTTTTTAAATCTGAGTGAATCAGAATGATAACCAAAACAGGAAAAATTACCCACTGAAGCCCTGCTAGAAACCTAATCTCCCTCTTGGAAAATAAGGGCAACGCATGCATTGCATAACAACCAAATCTCTTACTCGTGGGATTTTGAACAGAGTTGAAACAGGTGTCCCAGTCAGAGATGGTGGTCAACTGTGCCTCTTTGAATGGACATCGCTCTCCACAGTCCTGCCAATAATCCAGTCTCACATATCAGACTTCTGAAAGGGCTCACTATGCCTCTTCTGAGTCTCCTATCCCAGGGCTTAGACTCATAATTTTTCCAGTTCCAGATATCATTCTGTATCACCCAAATGGTAAAAATTAGGGCCTGTTCCGGTTTTGCCTTGTCGGCCATGACTGAACTGCTTCAAACTGGTTCAAAGCTCTGTCAGGAGGGGAGGTTACCCTTAGCTGGAAAATCGGGGAAGGATTTCTGGGGAAGGAGTTACCTAATTGGGCCTCGAAAGATACATCAGATGTATAGACACAGATGTGTGAAAAGAGGTACTTCAGGAGGCAGCAGCAGCTTAAACAAAGGCTTAGAGGTGGCGGAAGGAGCGCTGTGGAGAGCGGTGGAGGTTGGGGCTAGGGAACGCCCTTCCTGGGGATTCTAGCATGCTGCCTGCAACAGTTAATGAGGTGAAGACCAAAGGATAGTCACTGGACTCAGCTTCCTTTTTGGTGTTTGGGATAAGTGGGGAGGCAGACAGAGAGACAGGGGTCATGTGTCTCTCTAAAAATATGGCTGCATCCTGGACTTTTTGATTTGCCCACCTTTCTTCCTTTCTCCTTTCCTCACTCCCTCACTCTCTCTTACCCACCCTCCATCTAGTCTCTAAGCTCTACTGGCTACTGAGGACACAAAGAAAGATATGACACAGTCTTTGTCTTTAGGGACCTTGCAGTCTCATGAGGAGGTTGAACACAAGAAAAACTAGTTACTGTATATTGTTGTTGGGTGCCGTCGAGTCAGTTCTGACTCATAGGGACCCCACGTGACAGAGTAGAACTGCCCTGTAGGGTTTTCTTGGCTGTAATCTTTATGGAGGCAGATGAGCGGGCCTTTCTCCTGTGGAGCTTCTGGGTAGTTTCAAACCATCAACATTTCAGTTAGCACCCAGACTTAACTGTTGCACCACGAGGGCTCCTTAGTTACTGTATAAATAATACAAATTAGAGAGAGACAGTGGAGTACTGAGGGAACAGAATATAGTAATTGCTAATTTTTTGCACCCTTACTGTGTTTCAGGTTCTGTTTTAAACACTTTTACATATATTAATTCATTTAATCCTCATAGCAGTCCTACTACTGGTTGCTATTATTATCCCTGTTTTACAGATGAGGAAACTGAGACACAGAGAACTTTAGTAACTCGCCCCAGATCATAACATTAGTGGGGGTAGAGCCAGGAGTCCGAGCCAGGTGGACTGGCTTCAGAATCTGTGCTCCTAACCACTATTCTCAAAGTATCCAGCTCTGCCATGTTTTGATGAAGACATACTTAGTTGGTCAACATATATATAGGCAGTCCCCTGGTTACGAATGTCCGACTTACGGACAACTCATACTTGCCCTTTTATGTTATGTGAATTCGCCCTCACTTTGAAATGATTGAACCAACCCCTACTCGCAATAAATTCTTCATCACAATCACCTTCTCTTGCTATACGTGCAGCTTTTAAATCATTGGAAAGGCTTCAAGCCTTCTCTTGTGCTAACCAAACCTGTTGCCGTCAAGTCAGTCCCAACTCACAGCGACACTATAGTACAGAGTAGAACTGCCCATAGGATTTTCAAGGAGCAGCTGGTAGATTCAAACTGCCAATCTTTTTTTTTTTTTTTGTCATCAGCCAAGCTCTTGACCACTGCACCGCTAGGGCTCCTTTTTGCACTAAAGTAAGGCTAAATAAGAACCAGAACCATACACAACCCTGAGAGTATGGCCCCCAGACACCCTTTTAACTCAGTACTGAAGTCACTCCTGAGGTTCACCCTTCAGCCAAAGATTAGACAGCCCCATAAAGCAAAACGAGACTAAATGGGCACACCAGCTCAGGGGCAGGGACAAGAAGGCAGGAGGGGAAAGGAAAGCTGGTAACGGGGAACCCAAGCTTGAGAAGGGAGAGTGTTGACACGTCCTGGGGTTGGCAGCTGATGCCACGAAACAATACGTGTAGTAATTGTTAATGAGAAACTAATTTGCTCTGTAAACCTTCATCTAAAGTACAATTTTTAAAAAAAGAACCATATACACCTGTTCTGTCTTAACTACAAATTCTTAAAGACATACTCAGGAACTGATCTAGTTTGTAACCCAGGGACTGCCTGTATTGCTCCAGAGGCAGACAATAAATAAGTACATGAACAACTCAGATAATTTCAGGTACTGACGATGGCTGTGAAGCATGTATCATATGTGATGTGATAGAGAGGACTGAGGAGGGATGCATTAGCTATGTGGTTGAAGAAGGCCCCTTTGAGGAGGTGACATTCAGCCCTGCAGAAGGAAGCAGCCCTGCAGAGGTGCAGGGGGAAAGTAAATCCGGCAGGAAAAACAGCAGGTGCAAGGGTTGGCGTGTTGAAGGGATGAGGAAGTGCTGTGTGACTGAGGAATTTTGAGTCAGGAGAGAATGGGATCAGGGAGGTGGACACAAGCCAGTGTTGTAGCGTTTTGCAGGCCACAGTAAGCAGCTTGGACTTACCCCACTTGCAGAAGAAAGACAACGAAGGTCTTTAGGTTGTGGTGTGACCAGATGGAAGATAAGTTAGGAGACTGATGGAGTAGTATTAGGGAGGGATGATGGTGCCATGGACTCAGGTTATAGCAGTAGGAGTGGAAAAAATGGCCAGATTCAGGATACATTTTGGAGGTTGAGATGATAGGTCACAGGGAGATTAAGTGGCCACCCTGAGGTCACCATTACAAAGTTTCAGAGCCTGGATTCAAACCCACACCCCTAGACGACCCCAGTCAGGGGCTCGTTCCATTGTAACAACCTCAGCTGGCTCATGATTAATTGATTTAGGCAGCCACTTATTTCTAGATGATCAGAGGTAACCTTCAATCTGGCTGCTGTCTGAAATGGTAAAGCCTGATTCGGGAGGTCGCTGTGAGAAGGAGGCCTGCCTGGGGATGCAGCCCTGTCCCGTCTAATAGGTGGCTGACCTTTAATTCTGCTACACTTGTTGGAACGTGACTCAGCTGGTCCCAGGTGCCTTCAGATAACTGGCTGCCCCCACCACCATCATGCTGTGGTATAAAATCATCTGCTTATGTGTCTGACTCACACCCTAGTCTGAGCTCTCAGGACCCAGGGACCTTACCTGATTAATCCCCACATGCCTATTGCCTAGCACAGCGCCTGGCATACCACAGCTCAGTAAATGTGGGTTGTACAAATGAAGCGCTGAAATCTGCAGGCCTGGGTCCCCTGACTGATGCTCGGTGTGATTTCTTGTCAGTCACTTTCCCTCCATGTCTGTTTCCCTATCTGATACTTAGCCTCTTAAGATAGTGAGGTCTGCCCAGGATTGTAGCTGGGAAAGGCTTTGAAGTAGTCGTGTTTGAGGCATGAAAGGGTGTTGCCACTCTTTGTTGAAAAGTGAGCTGCCTCCATCAAGCTAACATGACCTTATCACTGTCACATCATCGAAGTTCACTATTTTCAGCTTTCAAGGTCCTCTCCCGTCCTCTCCCAGTGCAGTGTAATAGAAAGTAGGAGTTAGAACCAAGTATCAAAAGCTCTGCGTTTGAGCCCCAGTTCTGCTTTGGTTTAACTTTGAGCTTACCCTGGTTCATACCTTATTTATTTTTGTTTCCCCAAGCCTGGCACAGCAGCAGCACTAAGTAGATGCTTGGTGTCTACATTGTAAAGCCATCATTACAGTCCTTGTCCTGGCTACCCAGTGACCATGGACGCATGTGGGCCCTTTTTTAAACCTCACTCAGGCAGTGCTGTTTGCAGCCGATCTGATCCCTAGTTCTACAAAGCAGTCAGAAGAGTACATCTCAGCTCTGCGGTAGACTCACTGTCCCCACCCTCATCCAGAATTTTGCATCACTGCCAAGTCCTCTGAGTTTCCCGTGCTGATCCACTCTCCCGTTTTCTGCACCCTTTTCAACCTTCTCTATTTTTACCACACATCATAGTCCACACCTCTCTCTCTCAAAAGACAGTCTTTTCCTTCACAGAAAAGGAACTCCGAAGCTTCAAATCACCATACCTACCACCTTATATCCCACCAGTCTTCTACTTCATGTCATAAGAGTTCCATCTCTTATTTCAGGCTGGTTATTCTCTCCATCTGGGCTGTGGATCCCAGCCGACCTGCCTTCATAAGGACCTTGTTCCTCCAATTAAGCTCCTGCTCTACTGGTTCCTTCCCAGGATCACTTACATGTACTTTGATCACTCGTTTCTTTAAAAACAAAGCACTCACTAGGTGCCACTTTCATCACCCAGCCACTGCCGTGTCTCTTCCTTTTCACATCCAGGTTTCATGGAAGAGTTGTCTACACTCACTGTCAACAGTTCCTCACCTCCTGTTCAGTTTTAATGCTCCTGCCATCTGGTTTCCACTCCCAGCTCTCTACTGAATCTGTTCTACCAGCATTCCCAGTGATTCCTCT